AAGGGGGGAAATAACTTAATTTACGACAATCCTTAAATGATTTTAGTGTTCAGTCATGGCAACCCCTATACTCTAAGCATCAAAACCTAGTAGGTAATAAAGTAAAGCATGTGAGTGTCTTGTGTGACTCATAGTATGCTGACAACAAAACAGAGAGATCATTAATGGTGATTCGGTGCAGAGACTGAGTGGGACTAAGACATTTTTTCTATTCCTAGTTAAAGTGAGTGAAGTTTATGATATTCCACACTTGACTCCACTGATGGTAGGGACAAGAATAGCATAAAGTAAAGCTGGTATCTTCATTAAATTGAATTAGTCATGAATCACCTTAATGCATGAATCATACATCTGTATTCATTTTACGCATGATCCATGATAAAGGATAAAGTTTTTTAAAAGAATACATATATACAACAGCACAAAATGATAAATTAACATAAAACAAAGAAGAGTGGTGTTCTCTCTTACTTTGGGGCAAACTGTGCAGCCAAGAGAGCTATTTTCCTGCTTTCTCCCAAAATGTTGGAAAATTTACTCTCATTTGTGGGATTTCTGGACATTCTGGACAAATTCTCCTTCTATTGTGGAGCTCATAGTGAGAACACAGCCGGCCTTCTCTTGGTAGCCTGGTATCCCTGCATCACTGTAAAACCAGATTAGTTCATTTCACTTTCAACAAAAACAATGTTAATTATAATGAAAAAAGTAAAACTAAATTTTGTAAGTTAAAAAAACATCCCTGATCAACTAGCTTTAGTAATTTTAAGTAGCATTTACTTCCTTCTGTACTGTAAAAAACAAAATACATAGTAAAAAGTAAAAAAGGAATGTGTCTGTAACTTACAAAATTAAGTTGGTGTCACCTAGAATTATTAGTAAAAGCTGTTAATCAAGAATCTTTTTGAACTTAAAAAAATGTACTTACAATGTTTTGTTTAGTTAACTTATAACTTCAGACTTACTAACTAACTACTAACTTCTTGCTAATCGGATTACAGTGATCTTGTGAACCCGTTTTAGTGACCAGGCAGTGGTCATTGTGGTATTTAGTTTATCTGTGTTATTGTAAATGGCAAAAAGTTTAACTTTGCTATTATTTTTCATTTCATTTTTATTTGGTTTTTCGTATTGCTTTTAGTAAATTTATCAAATAGCACATCAGGGAAGCTGACAGTTGCACAAAAATGGGACTAAATTGAGCATTGGTCACATCACTTGTGGTATCAAATCATCCAAACAGACAAAAAATGTTTGAATTAATTTGGCAGGACATGAAGGTTTGGTTCTCTTGTTGAATTTGAGCTCATCAGTGAGAAGGCCCGGTGTGGTGTTTGGAATGAAAACAGACACGCTCTTGGCACACAGGTCATGTGTCAGTTCAGATGTTTATCTTGTCTCTAGAGAACATGGCAAATTAATTTTGATGAGGCTATTAACTTACCATCTACAACGGAGATGACATCAATCAGCCAATCAGTGTTTGGCTGATTTTCAGGACGCACAACTGTCAAGTCTGCTGTGGAGACTTTTTTTGATGTCTACTTACTTTGACAAAATCTTTTATAGGACAAAAAAAACAACCTCCTGGGATATAAAAATGAAATGAAATCCAGAGTGAGAACTGTGGATTTCTGTTGTCTACGTGGATTAATAGCATTTTGAAAATTAAAGCTTTGATTAAATCCCAAATGATGATGATGATGCCAGAAAGGACAAACATCAGTTGCAAATTATACTGATGAGGGAAATCCCTGGCTGGCAGCCACTCAGTCGCATTAATGCATGTGGTCATTCAACAGTTCGTCTATTATTGAGTAAGACTCCCACTAACTAAGTAACATATTTTATGGATATTTCATATTATATTCAACGCATAACAACTAATAAACTGTACAATTAACCCAAATAGTGAACGCAGTTAACGACCCCCGAGAAGCTTTGTCAACCCCTAACTTAGGAACCACTACTGTGGTAGACTTTGTAACATAAGCTGATTATTATTTCTAAATCGTGTCTTTTGTACCTCTGCAGGTCAATAAGACAGAAGACAAGTCCCTGGAGGAGCGAGGACGCATCATGATTTCTCTGAAGTACAACACCCAGAAATCCTGCCTGGTAGTGGGCATCATACGCTGTGCTCACCTCGCCGCCATGGACGCCAACGGCTTCTCCGACCCCTACGTCAAAACGTCAGTATGCAAACACGGTAACACTTTATTATAATGGTACAAATCACATACGTAAGTAACAATTAACTAATGCATCACTCATGATGATTTAATGCAGGATGTATCATGAATTCCTGCTACTCACTACTAATCAATGATTTTATGATAATTGATATGCAACCAAATTAGCAGGTTTCCAGTTTCTCTGATTTAAAAAAAGCTTTGTAGTTCTATGAGAATAGACCCAATTGTATTCTCAAACCTGCCAACACTACCATTTTTCCCTGGTTTCTCCCATATTTCAAGGCCATGTCTCCCAAGAAACTCTATGTAATCAATTTGGCCCTCCAACTTTATTATGAATAATAGTCGTACATGGAGTTTGTCTGACGTCACCCAAGTTGCCAGATCATCTATGAAACACAGTCCACACACCAATTCAAACCATCTGTCACTGCAATCTGTCAGATCACAACCCAGTTCAAAGGGCAGCTACTCTCTGCGCAAGCAGCCGGGCCAGCTACAGTTACTTGGTTTCAGAGCAGGAAGGAGTCCCACCAACAGAAATCTAAATATACCAGCCAATTTAAGCAGAGCTGGACTGAACAGATTCCATTTCCTATCGGCTGGAAGCCACACATGCATACTCATACTCAAGTCAAACCTAAATGTTCATAGGTATTTATTTTTGACACATTAACAACATAATGGACAAATTATAGCAGAATGATCACTTATGTTTAAGCTCCACTGCTTTGAACCACACATTAATTCATGCATTAAATCATTATGAGTCATGCATTAGTTAAGTATTACTTGAATATATGTATATATAAAGTGTTACCACAAACACTTGCAAATACAATCAGAGCAGAAGTATCAGCCGTGCTCTACAATTTCATGTTGTATGTTTTCACATTTTGATTTAACCTTAAAGGACCATTCCAGTTTATTATATCTTATTTTTTATAGTTTTGGCCATAATTTCTATCCGTAATAATAAGACTGCACTCACCAAGTTAAGCGCCGAGATCTGGGAACATGGTGATATCAATAAAAGGAAGTCTCATGGGAAAAGAAACACACAATCAGACAGGTTGTAAACAAACCCTCAGGGTAGCCAAACGTATTTGGAAGATAAGACCAAGACAAACTGTAAATGTATTACCCAAACCGTCTGCCATAAGCTTACTGTTGTTGTGTGAGTGCAAACATTTTTCTTGTGCAATGTGGGATTATTACAAACACTTTGGTGCACTCACTTTCAATTTTACCTCCAAATAAACAGGTTTAGACAATCTGGGCAAACTGTCAGCTGGTTTACAACCTGTCTGATGGTCTAAGTGTTTGTGTTTCTTGACTTGTCAGACTTTATTGTTGTGTTGTCGCTGTAGATCTCAGTATCTACCTTGGTGAGTGTTTTAATTTTATTAAAAACAATAAATATGATTGACATATTTTGAGAATTGGACCCAAATTGTGAGAAACCAGACTTTTTTGTCAAAGAATATGTCATGTTAGGTAGCCTAAAAGTATGGAGACCCATTGTGTTCAAAATTAAATAAATAAAAGTTTATAAATACCATGACATTGTAGTTAACTTAGCTTATTATTAAGGCTGCAACTTGCATTATTAATTGTGTAATTGTCCTTAAAATGTCAGAAAATAGTGAAAAAAGATTTTTACAGTCATAACCTTCTAATGTCTTGTTTTGTCTGACTAACAGTGTAATACCCCAAAATATTAAGTTTACTGTCACATAAAACAGAAAAGCAGAAGGGAGGTTTTTAGGTCTTTGTTCTTGAAAAACTACTTAAACTAGTTGCCAATTAATTTTTAATTAACTATTATGAAATATTACTTTTAAACTGCTTCCTTATCCTTGAAAAAGGGTTAGGGTTAGAACAGCTGGATTTAAATAGAAATAACCTGCAATTTGACAATGTTACAATACTGAAAGTGGGAGGGAATAACATTTTATAATAATTATAATAGCTTACTTTACAATTTCATGGTTGTATTATTTTGTCTGGGTTTACTCATACAATAATTGATTTCATGTTTTGTTTATTTATCTTATTTTGAACACTTTGACTCTCCATATGGAAGAGCAGAACAAAAGAAGCATGAATTACTGACATACACTGTACGCATTCATTTGCAGTTACAGAGCTCCATGCTTTGAAATTAATTGATCTTTATTTTAGTCTTTGAGTTCTAAACATAAAACAGAATTTAATGTTCATTATCAGTAACCAAACTGTTGGTCTAGGATAAAATCTGACCTCATGTTTGCACTGGTGGAAAAAGTCAAGGGGTCACCAATATCATTAAAAATCGAAAAATAAATACTGAGACCAAATTTCATGGCAAGTCTGTTGTCAAGATGTCTTGCTGTAGAGCAAAGTGTCATCACCATCCTTAAGCCTTCAAAGAATCTATGAAATATATACTATAAAAACAAGGATTAAACAAGGATTTGTAAATTTAAGACAGCTTGAACTGATAATTTACAGAATACATAACATATAGACGAGGGCTGGCTTTGCATACAGCCACCTGTTGATTGATTACTTCTCTCCTCAACAAACATTTCTGCTCAAAACAGCAGATGCTCGTCACAGTAATGCTATTTTTAGTGGGTGTACAATGCTCTGTAGAAGTGCTGAAATGGATTAGCTGGCAGTGCTGATGTTTTAGCAGAAAAGAGGCAGACTACCTGTGATTATCAGCGGCATGAAAGACACACAGCACAAGAGGCCATCCGCAGGGCTGCAATTTGAAGGAGAGTCCTATTTATCACACCTGAACATTTCCCAAGTCTTTCATCTGGCTGAGCAATGAAAGTGCAATTAATTTTCGACTCTGCTGTGCACACCTCGAGAACAAAAGCGCGACTCGTTTCGGAGGAGAGGGGCTGGCAACAATTTTCCAACAGTTTGAGGTTGAGAAAATCTCCCTGAAGCTTGAAGGACACTCAGGCAGATAATAGATTTACTGACAAGCTCATGTGAGAGGGAATAAAGGAAATGTATACTCTGTCAGAGAGACAGGGCTGCATGATTTCTCTCCTCTTTCAGCAGCACATGTCTATGTGATGCATCAACTCACAGCTGTCACCTGAACTGTAAATTGTTCTTAAAATGTGCTGTATGAATGTAGAAAGCAGGAACACGTTAGTCGAACTAGGTGGTAGCGTACACCATGAGAAATGGCGGAGTAAATGCCCTCCTTAACGGCTCTTCAGTCAATGAAAAGTGCATTTCATCAAGCTAGAGGTAAAAGATATTCTTAACGATGAGTATTCAGTTTTATTGCACAGCTGCTGAACAAAAGCAGAATAATGGCAGTACTGCAAAATTGCAGCAATTTACACAGTGAAATAAGACTTAAAACAATTGTACTGCTCAATAGCATTGTTTGCATCCTAACTTTCACTCTTAGCTTGTTTTGCCTGGGGGTCAGTTGTAGTCCCATTACATGACAACAATTAGGTTTGCTGCAATATCCTCATCAACAACAATTTCAGCCCTCACTCCCCCAGGGGTACGCTTGTGAGCTATAACCCACTTACCCTCCCTTTAAGTCTCTGTGTTACCTTGGGAAATTGAAGTCTGTGTGGGTCCAGTGAGCACGTAAAAGTAAAGAGGGATGTGACGAGCTACTGTAATTGCTCACTGGATTGAAATATACCACCATCAGAATGAGCATTATTGCCCAAAATTGTTCTTTTCCAAATGGACAGAGTTAATACAGAACATTCACTACACTACGCAGGTGTAACATATATATATATATATGCAACCTGCCTTTTGGATAATTTATGAAGGCAGAATAGGGTAGAAGCAAAGGTCCAACCTTCACACACACACACACACACATAGGTTGTACATTCATAAACACCAATGCCTGCACCCAGAGCAACAGTAGCCCTAACGATCTGTTTTTACCACTGACTCATGGACTGCAGTGAATGCAAACTGAAACTGATGATACATGTATTAGAAACACCTCCACACACTAAAATGGAGTCAACTTTTATTTATATTGCATATTTCACTATATATACTTAGTTTCTAGTTTATTAGTTTCACCTAAACATAGTGAATGCAGTGAGATACTACTGCCCTGCAGGAGTGAGAACCAGAGGGGTATTGTGGGCTAGAATGAGTTATATATATCAAAGGAAAGCCCTTGGTGAGCTCTTTCAAAAGGGCACTAGTGAATTCTAAGCCCATCAAGATTTATTAATCAAAAACCAAAAGACCTAAAACAGAACAACTGTTTTGGCGTAAGTACACTTAAAGGTCCACTGTTTAACATTTAGGAGAATCTATTGCCAAAAATTGAATATAGTGTTTATTTTCATTAGTGTATACTCGAAAACAGGTATGGTTATTGTAAGAATTAAACATTATTATTTTGGTGAAAGTAGGATTTGTTGCAGGACTGTTGCATTAGATTGCATTACTTCAGCTAGGTGTACCACATAAATCGCCAACTGAGTTTAATATGACCCAAAGTGCTTCAACATCCAATCTAAAAAGAACAAACAAATAACCTTTGAAAACTAGAAAGATTAACAAAATCTTCCAGAACAAACTCATAACAGCTCATATTGAAGATTTAGGGTTTAAATAAGGTACATACTGGAGAGCTGCACTGCTGTGATTAAGTTATGAGGTGAGGTGTCTTCACCTCTGTAATCTCATCAAAAAGACACTAAAATGAAATTTTGTCATTAAACTAACCATGTGGCAGAGATTAATCTTAACAGAGAAGAGCTGCTTTGAGAGATGGTGACACAACAGCATCTATGTATTACCAACTGGAAAAAATGTCTTTAATAAAAAGCACAGGTGGAGTCTATTAAAGTCAAATAATGTAACGTGTGTAATGTAATGCAGCTGTACGGTTGAATATAGGGCAGTACCACAGCACCCTCTAGAGGACAGAAATGTACAGAATCATTCTTTTACATTGTATATGAGGAATTACATACAATAAATAAGCATCATGTTTATTTTAATAAATTAATTTGTAGTATGTTCTGCTTGCTGTTCCTTGTCAGTGCTGTTAAGCCCTGTATTAAGTCTTCCTCCCTGCTGTCCTACAGGTACCTGAAGCCTGACGAGAACAAAAAGTCAAAGCACAAGACTACTGTGAAAAAGAAGACGCTCAATCCTGAGTTCAACGAGGTATAAACCATTGCAATTGCACTGAAACCTCACAGCTCCAATTTCATTTCAGTCTTTTTCCTATTTTTCTTTTACCTGAGTTGAGTGTTTATCCAGTGCTTTTGTGTGCTGAGCAACCTCCGTAACCCCGGGACCTACAAAAGCCATTCTGTGAGGGCACGGCTGTCAGGTCGAAAAGAAGCACATTTTTCTAAATTCATTAAAGGATGAGCAGAACAGAAGCTGTCTGTTGGATGTACTGTAGGTAGAGTAAGTCACAAAAGTCATGGACATAGTTCAGGTGTCTTTTGGCAGCACTGATACTTTATCCAACCTCATATCTTCTTTCATTCACTGGAACTCTGGACCAAAAAACAGCCTTGAAAAACACGTTTAAAACATTGTCCGAATGAAACTATGAGGTAGTACTATGTCCACTGGTTTTTAATCTACCCCCCAAAGGTTAGCCAAAGTTACACAGTGGGGCCGTAAGGCCTTATTGATTATAAGGTATCAGGGAAGAAGAACACTGAATTTGTTTTTTTGTATTGTTATTGTGTATGATTGTTTAAAAAAACAAATAATACATAAATATATAATAATAAATAAAACCTAAATTAAAATATATATATATATATATATATATATATATATACAGATGTTTAAAAAGTTCCTAAAAATATCAGGACAACGTATCTCTAATGCAATATTCATAGCCATAAATATCCATGAAATCGCTCTTAATTAGGGGTCGTCAGTTTACTCAATGACAGAAAAGGGGCTCCCTTTTCCCCAGTGCTCTAGTCATCTACGGCTTTTATCTCCATCATTCTTTAAAGCTGCAGTTTATGCAGTTGCTATGCAGCTTTAAAGGCCCTGGAAATATATTTCTCACCATGAGCAATGGGATCTTACATGAACACAATTTAATTTATTGTCAAAGTTACAACACCTTTCATCATTACATGTGAGGGATTCTTGTTCTTTGTTTCTTCTCGCTGGTTTGAAGTAGGCGGGGTTCATCTGGGAAAAGGTGATGTCACCTGGGATGAAACATAAAGAATATTGTTTTATAATTATAATACAAGGGCTTTAAAACTGCAACAATTGAAATGTGTGTATTAACAATTGGGGAAATGTAGGTCATTGTGACAAATATATAGAGAATTATCACCAACTGTGCTCCACGGAGCATTTTAGTGGCTTTCAGCTTTCAATTTGTTCTGGTTCACTCTCACTGATCTCATCAGTCCTGTTTACAGTCGCAGCAGGCAGCTGTTTTCAGAAAAAAGGGTTTTAAAAACCTATTGTATACTACCTGCTTGACAGATGGACAAAGTAAACGATTAGCTGGTGAACATAGTGCAACATTAAGCAGTTAAACAGCAAGATATTTCTCTGGAATTCGCAGAGATCAGAACAGAGCTAAAAGAAAAGTGAAGCCTGGTGGCCAGAAACACGACTTCCAATGGATGCTAACATTGCTCTGCATCTGCTGGATGTTGCTACCACCAAATCGACATTATAAGATAAGATAATATGTCTGTGTTGTGTTCCGCAGCTTTCCAAATGCCCCAAAAATCAAAAAGCAGGTTTAAAAGAGTTCCCAGTGCTGCAGTGCTTTGATAAATTCTGTATGGAGGAAGACTAGTTATCAGCCCTTATTCCCCTCTAAAATGAACCAGAGCAGCTCAGTCTCACAGACCACCTCCTCTTTTGTAATGAAAATTACTGATTGTAAATAATGTGGAAATCTGAAGTGCATTGCTAAAGACCCAGAGGACCCAGCCATGTTTTGCAGAAAGATGCCAAACATGTTTTCAAGGCTAAACAGGCTCCTCAGTGCGTCGTGGCACGGGGTAGCTATCCACCTGTATACAAGAGGACGGCCCTGGCCAAACACTCACGCAGGCCAGCAGCTTGACATTTCCTCTGACATTTTTTGCGTCCATATTCCTCCATCACCTCTTGGCCTTTCTGTCAGAGACGAGCAATGGGGTCTTCCTCTGTATCAAGGCATTGATTTCATTAAGGTGGAGCAGCAACCTTGACTGAACTACAGATTGAAATGCAGAATAAATGCTTCCACTTCACACCGTGCAAATTGATATCAGGAAAAATTCTTGCTTCATTTAGAGGACAGTGTACTTTATTGATTATACTGTCATTCTGTTAAAGTACCCTGGTATGCATTGTACATTTAATTCCGCTGTGCTTCAATCAAGATACCTCTTACACTTGTAGTATATTGAATTGGTCTTTTTAAATGTCCTGAACTAATAGAACAGGCTGTAAGAGTGGGAAAAGGCAACTACTGCACCGACATTAACCTGAATATTATTTTGGGCACTAACGAAAAATTAAAACTCAATGAGGCGCCCAGAATTGTGGGAATCAATTTCACCAGAAAATGAAACAAATGTTAATTGCATTCAGGTTTGTAATGATAATTATGCAGAGCCAACACCATGCAGAAGAGTGATTTGTTGTGAAGGTGGTGAAGCAAAATTGACTCTTATTCAACACGTTCAACATTTTTGGGCTTTGTGATATGAAAAGATGTCATTGTAATCGTACATGATTACACTGGAGAGATTAACTGTGAAGCTCTAATTTCCTGCTGCTCTATTTTTCTGCAGGAGTTCTGTTACGACATAAAATATGCAGACCTCACCAAAAAGACCTTGGAGGTGACCGTGTGGGACTACGACATCGGAAAGTCCAACGATTTCATAGGTAAGCACAGGTGAACCGTGCCAGGTCTCTGCCTCATCAGAGACGATGACGGCGTAGGACGAGCTTAAATAGCTTAGAATGATATTCATCAGCATCAGCAGCGCCACTGGCCTTCTGTCCAGCTGAGTCTGCCATCTGCCCGGACCTCTCTAAAGGCTGGTGGCTGGGAAGCAAACAAGCACTGAGCCATGCTGGGAACTAACTGGCCTGCCATGTATTCATGTCTGTTTGAGCACGATGCCCTGTTTCAAAGCATTCCCCCCAAATCATTTTTTCAAAGTAATCAAAGGCTTTTATCCCTCTTGAATAAAGGAACATATCAGAAAAATATCAAAAGTGGGAAAACAATGTTGCATGCAGTCGCTGTAATTGGCAGTTCTTCCTTGACCTTGGAAATTGGAGTCATCAAAAATCCATGATAACTGACCAAGCATCATTTACTGAGGAAGTCAGTGAGAAGCTGTTGAAAGTTCCAGAAAAAGCTAATAAATGGACCTTGAGTTAAGGTTGTTTGGCCACAATCCTAAGAACTGAGTAGTGTTGTAGTAAAGATAAATGTTATGCTCTCGTCCCATAGCGATGTACCCTGAAAATCACGCTGGGTTGCCATTTTGTTTAACATTCAGCTTGACTTTGTGTTTGTGTTCAGCCATTTGGGTTGATAGCGGTTATTTTATTGTGTTTTTTCTTAACAGATCAGGGGCGAGTCACATCTGTTCACCTCTTTAAATGATCTATTACCTATAAATGTTGAGAATCAAAGTTCATTCCTGATTGAAACAGAAGTTGGCAAAACAACATCACCTCAACTGCAGTGTTCACATCCTTTAGTTTGGTAAAAACAGCAATACCACTCGAAATACCCCCTTAGAAGTAAAAGTCCTGCATTCAAAACTGAGTTTAGTGGTAGTATTATCAACAAAATGTTCTAATTTCTCTAAATTATGTAAGTATCAACTATGTAGACTAAATGAGTTCTACTGCATTACATTATACAACTGGATAATAATTAGTGCATTGCCTTAGTTGATTGAAGTGGAGTTGATTCTAGTTATTTCATATACTACTGGGTGGTTTAATATACTGCATATTAATATATAATATGCATTGTATTTTATATTCTCATTATAGGTATTTAAAATCTAAATTAGTAACAGTAACTGCAGCTGTGAAAGAAATATAGTGGAGTAAAAAGTAGATTATTATCTGTACTGTTTTACTTTCCACCACTGCTCAAAAGCTATTTAGTTGTTGTGATATGATTGATAACTTCAGAACAGCGACTAAATGGAAGGGAGATTGTTTTGTCAAGATTAATAAATGATTTATTAACCATGGATCAATCTTTATAAACAGATATCTGATATCACAACTTTGGCAATCGGAGGGACGCTGGAAGTCAGTCTTAGTTGCGGGTGCTGAGAGAAAATCAGTAATAATGACGCCATGCTAAATGCTAAATACGTAACATTCATGGTATTGATTGATTTGCATTAATTCAAATGGCCAGGATCATTTATAGCCTATTTAATAGTTATTATTATTATTATTATTATTATTAGTTTTCTTTATATCAGATTTCAGGGGGTGCTGCAGCCCCCTCAGCACCCCTGCTTCCAGCACCCATGATTGAAAGCGTACTGGTTTCCGCTTGTAGTCCAAGTAGTACTGACCAAGCAGATTTGTGATTTGTGTGGAGACCAAAAGAGGCAAATCTCATTGGCTGAAGTGCAACCTCGGAACCCATCAGCTCTGACGAGGATTTAGCTTTTTATTATTTAAAAAACGTATCTGCATTCATATGCAAATATCTGTTTATAGAGATTTCCCATCAATAAACCATTAGTTTCAACTTTATAAAGGCTGTCTCATTAGAAAGTGCTCTATCACAACATCTTTAATGCTACCCGTTCACCTGTTTTGTCTATTTTGTGTTGTTGCTAAGGCACCATAATAATCTGCTGTTATCCTTTTACTCTTTTATAATGTGAGACATTCTACATCTCCTACACATTTTGCATTTAGTTCAGCATGTGACTCATACTCTCCTTGTGTCCTTTCAGGTGGTGTTTCTCTGGGTATCAATGCAAACGGAGAGAGGCTCAAACACTGGTTTGACTGCCTCAAAAATAAGGACAAGAAAATTGAGCGCTGGCACACGTTGACCAATGAATTACCTGGTTCATTAAATGACTGAAGACCCACATCCTGTTGGCCCCCGTTCCCCCCTGGCTGCACCAGATAGGACTCCTGCCTTTATTTTCCTACCCCCTCCTCTTCTTCTTCTTCTCTGGATTTTCCTCATGTTGGCCACAGTGACCTGTAACACCTCTTCTGGAATATATTTCCTCTCAACAGGGCTCATTTTAAAATATCCAAAACCTTATGTTTGTGTTCCACAGCATTCTCACATATACAATAGGGGTTGTTTTTTGAACAAAATGAATCACGGGGATTGAAGTGTTGAATTTTAAGCTTCATAATTCTGACTTCTTGTACGATCAGTGAAGAAAAAAGGAGCAAATGCTTTCTATTTAATGAGATATGAGATATTTTACAGCAGCTAAACAATTTACCAATGATTCACCGGTCCCTGTAACAGCACAAACAAAGCCTTCTTACTGTCATCTTAGTGGTAAAAGACCGGAGAATCCAACAAAGGATGTAGCAAGATTTCATACTGTTGGAGTTTGCAGAAATGTTTAGTGGAATAGTTCTCATCTTCTCAAGTAAACCACCCTTAATCTGCTTGACTCTAATATTTAGTCTTATAGAGGAGCAGTATAAATAAATGAGCCACTGTTTTTTTTCTTCTGAGTTTACTGAAGATGTTGCACATTAATATGATTGTAAAAGTGTTGGGTAGCATAGGTCCTGTTTTTCAGCCCCTATTTAAGTGACTCCCACACAGCGGGCCAACTGCCAGCAGTTTGTTGTAGAAATCTGGTGTGAACAATGACATAGGAACGCAGAACCAACTTAAAATGCAGTACAAGTTAAAGGTCCAGTGGATAGTACGAAGGAGAAACTACGGTACCTGAAAAAAATGCAAAAACACCCCTATCTACAGCCAGTGTTTGGATTGTCCCTTCTAGGCTATTGTAGAAACTGTAGATCCTCCTAAATGTTACACACTGGACCTTTAAGGCCTCAGTATGCTTCAAACAAACTAGATTGAGCTGTCTGACTGAGACTGTCCTCCATGAAAAACAACTTCATCAGTCATTTCAGTATGTTATGTTCAAAGACCTCTAGCAGCTACAGGAATTGTGACTGTTGTCCATCGAGAGCAAAGACGGTAATAGTAAGTCCACAGATCTTTACTCTCCTAGGTTTGGACCGTTCGAAACATTTCGATAGCAGGTTTTCCTTGGGAACCAAAGTGGGCGTGTCATATTCTTTATGTCGTTGTGCATCCAATTAAAGTGGTTCTACTGAAAACTGGTGGAAGCGCAGGATGGTCCGCTCGATAGCACCATGGAACTGATTCAAGAACCAGAGCTAATTTGATGGAAAACCAACATGAGGGAGAAGGTCCGGTTGGTCAGATGAGTCAGCAAAAGGACCTGACATGGGAGACAAAGCTCTGTTCACTTCTCTTTTCCCATCAACAATCACGATGTTTCTTTAAATCATGATTGTTGTCCGGAGGTGGCAAAAGTACACACATTCTTTACTCAAGTAAAAGTACAGATACTCAGGTAAAAGTAGAAGTACCGATTCAACTTCTTTACTCAAGTAAAAGTGAACAGGCTCTGAAATGTACTCAGAGTCTAAAAGTAAATAGTACTCTTGGTTTCTCTGAAAGACATTTCTTTCTGTTTCTGTGCTAAGCTGAAACTTCAAATAGACTCTCCCTCTCTTGTCTTTTTCGTCATGCTATGTTTGTCATTTATGATATGCACCGATCTCTCAATTGTATTAAAAACTAAAGTAACAAGCCGGTTTTTCATAGAAAGTACAGATATTTGTGTAACAATGTAGGGGGTAAAAGTAAAAAGTTCTCAGAAAAAATAACACTTATGTAAAGTACAGATACCTGAAAAAACTACTTACGTACAGTACTTTGTTACTTCCCACCTTTGTCGTTCCTTAACTTTTTGTGCCCAAACCAGCCAAATTTTAACCATAGCAATGTCACAGAAGAAAACAGTGTTTATACCTGAATGTCCAGTTGCATCCGATGCTAAAACCCTACCGTCGTAACCTCCTCCTGGCTGCATCCCACTGCCTCCCTGCTCCATCTTTAACAACTCTGTCACTTTTGTCTTTGTAATCTTGACGTGATTAATTGTTCAAACAATGCACACTTTCAAACTGTTTCTCCTTGAGGGCATTTGTGGTGTTGTACGTGGTATTACAAACGAAAGGTTCGAAAAAGTACTTGTGAGATGAATGGAGAAAAAAAGGTTGAGAGAGAAATTCAAATGCTGCCTTGGGATTTCTGACTTCAAAAACTTGGTGGGTGTATGTTGTTTCAGGAATTGCTGAGAGGATAAATACAGTTCCAAAAGTTAAGTTTGAGTTATAAATCCATGAGTTTAAACACCAAAAAATAGCACAGCAGCTTATAATATTACAAGGAAGGATTTTACAACAATCGCAGGACGTTGCGTTGCAGCTAAAGTTGAACCTGTGTTGGCATTCCACTGTATCAAAGGAGTAGCCTTCCTTGCTGTTGTTTGCTTGAACTTGGCCTAAAGTGGGCATTGTTGACCCTGTTTCCACCATTGGAAAAGAGGGATCTCAGGCGCTGTTAGATCATATGTCAAGTACCTTGTTTGAAGCATACTGAGGCCTTCAGTCCTCTTCCTAGTGAACTGGGTTTGTTTGGAAAGAACAAAGTACCACAACCACACCGCCAACACAAAACAACACCAAAATCTAAGGCTTAATCGGATTTTGGCAGTTGATAGCCATAAATTCTGCTTAGAGGATTTGAGGACGACTGATGCTCATCTGTAAGCTCACAGGACGGCAGGTTACCAAACTTCTGCCCAATAAACAAACTGTTTGGAATAAAAATGAACTTTGCCTGAACTCCTCCTCAAGGCTTACAGCAAGCATTCACAATGTTACAAACACTGATTCCCGGCATGTCTCTGTATAGACTAATCAATATGAGACAATGCCAGGTGTCATAGCACCACCGGCTTGGATTACTCACTGATTCTTAAGTGCAACCCCGAATCTATAGAGCTGCCTAGTTTTGTGGTAATCCTGATGTCAAGGCTCGACAAGTGTTTTGTCCATTCAGTACCCCAGACTTCAAGGTGGCTGGTTTCTTATTTACAGTGATAAAGCAATGGGTAGATAATTCAAATATGCATTCATAAATTGGAGATGAGTCATGGATACAGTGACACTTTCATTCAGCTGTGGTGAATAGTAATATTTACAGATTTCTTAAGAGTGACTGCTTTAAAGAACTGCACTGGGTTGCACCAGCTATGTCAAAGTTTTCTCCTAAGTCAGGGTGTGAAGTCGACACTAGAGGCAAGTTAGTTTGTAACTAAATCAGCTACTAAAATTGGTTGTAACTTGGGACATAACTAGTCCTAATAATAACTAGTCTGGACATATAGTCGTAAATAAGGCAAGTGGCCAATGAAAGATAGATTTCCTGTGAGTATTGGCTTGGCATGAGCCTCTTTGGCACTGTAGCACATCGCAGTAAGCTAGATCAATATTGAAATATCATATCAATAAATTAGGTTTGTACTGGATTACTGTGTTGTGAAATGGCTGCAGTTCATGAAAAGATGATGCTGTGTGGCATAAGAACCAGTCAGTGAGTATAATTCTGTGACATTTTATGATTTACACTACACTAGGGGCATGTGTAACTATAGTTGTTATGTATGTTATTGTATCGTAAGTTGCAACATAACGCTAAGTAACAACTAACTAAGTTACAACTCCCCGTGGTGCAACCGCTTTTATTTTGGTGACGCATAAATCACAATTTAGTAATAATTTACGATATAACTAGGCTAAGTTTGAACTTACATACAGCTGGTGCAACAGGCTACCGGGTTTCACACTTCAAGGGCAAGATTAAGTTTCTTTCAAACGGCCGTGCAGAGTGTCGTCAGAGTGAGTCAAACTGGAACAAACAGTCAGTCAGTAAGAGCATAATCACATAATAGCTGCTTTGAGTCTGTGATTAGTCAGGAGCTGAAGAGGGTTATGGATATAAAAGTAGATCTCATATGCGCAGGATGATTTGGATGATCTGTGGATAATTTGAGCACAGAGGTGGATGCAGTCACTGCACACTGCGATCACATCACACAGCCTCACTTCACTGTGCGCACAGCTTTAGAGAGCCCGCTTGATGGAGTCCAGCTGTAATCAACCACAGAATGAAGTTCAGTGGGTGACCTGCCTGGTGGAAATCACTTGTCCAACCACAATACTGCATGATTGGGCAGCTCTATGGTTGTGTGTGCGCAGCTTATTGTTTACACTACAGAGTTTCAACTGAAAAAAGAAATAAACTCACTGACGGCATTTTCAACTGTAACGTGGCTGAAAATGTACCTGCTGTTTGTCCAAAAGGCCGAATTTTAAAAACTGAAAGTTTACGTCAAATGTTTAAAGAAAAATAATAATAACAAAAGCATGTATTGTTTACAACAGCCTATTCTTGCTGAAGTTTGCTGCTGAAAAGGCAAACACGTCCTTATGCTAAAGTCAGTGCGATCGTTCAGTCGTGCAATGCAAGCTTTGCTAAGAAAAGCCAGGGTGAGAAGGGCAGAATTTTTACTAGATTAGCAGTGTATGTATATTGTTAATATGTTGTTGCATCTGTTGAGGTTTTTTATTTATTTTTTTCAATGTAAGCAGCTCCACTTTAAATGTATCAAACAGAATGTACATGTTTAACCCCTTCTATTCCACAGTAAATCCTCTACGAATGTGCAGCTTAGTGCTCTGTGTTGTTGATATTGTTCATATGTCAAATTAAAGCCTTGTATTTGGGCACACGTATCTGGGGAATAGAGATGGTTGAACTCAGAGGCCAGGAGCAAACTACCAGGGGTTATGTCACTCAAGTCATATAACTAAAACTTTCCTTTGACTCCCTCTAGCCTGATGAATTATTTATGTTTTTTTTTTTCTCTCCACTCAATATTTTATGTTAAAGTTTGATGTACAGTCCTGGAAACTTACCAGGACTGGAACTTGAGTTGCCCTTGTGGATCAGTAGGCTGGGATGCATGCCATGTATTTGTGATTTTATGAGTTTGTATGACCTTTTCTGCATGCCCCCACACCCACCTTTCTTGTAAATTTCCACCGTGCACTGACTGGTAACACAGAAACGCCATACAAATAGTCCTCACGTAACGTTCAGGATTCCTGTCAGGCTTTGCAATTCAGCTAACAGCTTTTTGTCATTACCTCACGTCACTGTGATAGGCCGGGCATGTTTGTTTTTAGAAGCATGTCGATTCTGTCAGTGTGGCTGACCACGTTATTCTAATTATTCTAACTCACTAATTACAGCTGGTGGATAGCGAGAAACAGCCCTAATGTCAATTTGTTATATTATTTAACCTTCTTCACCCATAGTTTTATTGTTGACGTAGTGTTTTTAGAACTTTTGCACTG